AATTTCACCAACAAAACTGAATTTAACCACAAACTCCATCCTACATGTTGGACACAGTGTAATAATACTGACAACAATCTTTGAGGATGTCCAATCATCGAGTCATGATCAGGCTGAAGGTTTGAGTCAACAGTAACTGGAAATAAGAGCCAACATCTGCAGCATGAAGCTCTCTGAACACTGGAGGTTCATTAAAACACAGTTTCCTTCTCCCAGTCGGTGTGGAAACGTCGGCAGCTTCCCCCCTCCCTACGACTGAGCAGATGCTCATGTCCACCGTCTTTTATGAAGTCTGAAAGACACCCACAGCTGCAGTGGGACGTCACTGATGGAAGTTTGTTGAAGTTTAGGAAGGCCATAACATATAATGAAGCCCAACAACAGCAGTAATAATGATAATGGTAATAATGTAACACAACAATACAATTTAAGTTCTTGGGTAAAGGGGTTTGGTGCCTTTCTCTAAAGATAAGAATGGAGGTAATAATAATAGTGATACAGATTGAGGCAGCTCAGAGATTAGGAGTCAAACCTACTTTTCCTTTCCTGCTAACTTTTGGATGTAAACTGCTGACTGACATGTTTAGATCTGTAAACGGTACTATCCAGTTGATGTGAATTCTGGATCCTTACAATGAAACTTTTCAAACATCCCTTCCTTCATTAAAAAGCCTTGCACGTTAATTTTAATTAAGGAGATTTGAGTCGACTGATTCCTCTCCGGATTTTTATTTTGAGGAATCAAGGCAGGTGGTGCATACCTTGATCAAAACCTGATCCAGGCAGAGAGGAACAAAGTCTGAGCAATTAGGTTTTATGACATCAAACCAGAAACAAATTATGTGTTTGGTTGGATCAAAAAATGTAGGTTACTGTTGGTACATCCAGGCAAAGCAATAAACCTTGCCAATAGATTTATTTGGAATTCTGCAGAAGGAACCTTGGAGTTACAGGTTCCCTGTTGACACTTCCCCAGGGAGAAGAAGCAGCAGCTTGATCGATACGGGCTGCCTGCATGCCAAATATGGAAATGTTTTATTTTTAAATATTCTGATAACATTTACTGTAAAAAAACATTCTGAAAAATTGTCTTTCTAAAATGTTGAAAATAAATATTTAGCCCTTTAACTGGCGGCACCAAAATCACCAAACACAGCTGAAAAGGCATACCCAAATTAAATCAGCTGCTGTTCTTGAACAATTTGGAGTACATGCAAAAGCTTGGTCTCTTTATGAAGAAGACAAGCTAAATTTTCCATTTTTGCAGTCAAAAATACTCTAACTGTAAATAGTTTGTAGCACAAAAATTTGAAAAATTTTGCTTCACCCAGATTTTTCATTTTTATTTCTTGTAAATACACATTGAGTGTTGAATGTATGGACTGGAAGATACAATAAATCTGTAGATTATGGATTTCAAGATTGATCAAAATAGCACAAAAAGAAATGGACATGTTTATTTATGAGGATGTACAGGTGTTGTCCAAGTGTGCCATTCAGAGTCGGTCTCCATTCGGCGTCTCCAAATGGCACACTTGGACAGCACCTGATTTACAAACTTCAAATGACTGTAACTCCTCAGTGCTTCAACATACAGTCATCAAAGAGGCTCTAATGAAAGATAATGACCAGAGGAATCCTCTGGTAGACACAACATTACTGATAGTGGAAATCACTTATAATTATATAAATAAAATGGCATATCTGGGGGGGTTAGCATACAGTCAGCCCCCTTCAACCTTCTTGCAATACGCCGTCTGTCTGTCCACCCCCCACTGCTCAGTGGTGATTCACTAGGTCCCCCGCCCCCCACCATCTTTGTGCCCCCCCACTCTTATGTTTTCAGTGTAGTTTCCTGTGCAAATATCTTAGTACATCTGAAATATGACAAAACTAACTTAAAAGAAACTTTTCAGCAAGATATAGAAGCTCATTTTAAGTAAATAATTTTTAAAAAGTACTATAGTTTCGCAGTCAGATTATTTCATTTATTTGCTTTAGAAAAGCTCCTATTTTTTGCTGAAAAGTTACTTTTAAGTTAGTTTTGTTTTATTTCAGATGCACTAAGGCATTTGCACTAGAAACCAGACAAAAGTACTTGTAAGGTTTTGTGTTTTTGCAGTGTATGAGGCTAAACGGATGTAATAATTACTGAATAGTGAATAAAAACATGTTTCGTTACGTATTTTGTTGTCTGCATTCCCGGGTCAGAAGCTAACACTGTTTGGAGGCCATGGCATGGAAACGTTCAGGAACTGATGTTGTGTTGGACATGCGTGGCGCTGTGGGACTGAAAGCATTTAAAGGAGGCAGAGCAGCTTCAGCTGCCACACACTGAGGCTCCAGCCTGTGGTACCACAGTTAGCTGGAAATAATTTAACCATAACGCACCTCTCTGTTACTGACTGTAGGGAAAAATCAGGTTTGTTCCTGTTCATGTTGATTTTTCCTGAATAATTGTTTTCCTGTTTGTAATGAAGGATTGGTTTAACGTTTTGTTTCAGTGAAATTTCATTCAGTGAGTTTTCATTTGTGTTAATGTTGTGCAGGAAAATGAATCAGTCTGTCAGGGTTTAAATCTCTGTGTTTGGTGCATTTCTCTCATGCCTGCGAGTTTTCTCTGGAGTTTATTTGTTTCTGCTGAACCTCAGTTTGTGTCTCTGCAGCACAAAAATGAGATTTTAAACCTGGAAAATGGAGAATAAATCTGTTGTGAAGATTCCTAATAATTTCTCACTGAAACACTTGAACCTCGATCATTCACGTCCTTCGTCTTTATAAAACTGGAGAGGTGATGAATGTTTCCCAGGTTTCATATTTCACTCTGAGCGCCTACTTTGACATCGGCCCGTTTAAGTACGGCGTCTTCCTGGTTATCATGTGTGTTTATATGTTCATTATCGGCTCCAACGTCCTGCTGATCGTGGTGATCTGTGTGAACCGGAGCTTACATGAACCCATGTTCCTGTTCCTCTGCAGCCTGTTTGTGAACGAACTGTTCGGCAGCTCATCACTGTTTCCCTTCCTGCTGGTCCAGATCCTCTCTGACGTTCACTCCGTTTCTGCTCCGTTCTGCTTCCTGCAGATCTTCTGTCTCTACATGTACGTAAACGTTGAGTTTTATAACTTAGCCGTCATGTCTTATGACCGATATCTGGCCGTCTGCCACCCTCTGCACTACAACACACGGATGTCCTTCAGCATGGTCGTTAAGCTGGTGGTGCTGTCATGGTGTCTCCCATTTGTTGCCATTGTTGTCATGATTTCGCTGAATGTCTCCTCTACGCTGTGTGGGAACGTCATCGACAGAGTTTTCTGCAACAATTATTATGTTGCGTCGTTGTCCTGCAGCGGAGCGACGGCCAGTAACGTCTACGGACTGGTCTACACCTTCTCTGTGCTCCTCAGCCTCGCCGCGCTCATCCTCTACACCTACATGAAGATCCTGAAAGTTTGTTTTTCTGGATCCAAACAGACGCGGCAGAAAGCGATCAGCACCTGCACGCCTCACCTGGCCTCGCTCATTAACTTCTCCTTCGGCTCGTTCTTCGCGGTGCTGCAGAGCAGGTTTGACATGAGCAGAGTTCCCAACGTGATTCGTATTATTTTATCTTTATACTTCGTCACCTGCCAGCCTCTTCTGAACCCGCTGCTGTACGGACTCAAACTGAATAAGATCCAGATCACCTGCAGAACTCTTTTCTTTGGTCAAAAGTAATCTGCTCTTTTTGGTATTCATTTATAATGTTGAGCTTAATTCCTAAATAAAATTGTAATCATATAAATGTCAATATTCATAAAGTGATTTTCCTTGTAAATGTGTCTGGAATAAAACAAAATCTTGATTTTAAAAAGAAAATCCATCTGTTTGTATAAAGAATAACATATTAAAAATCAGGTTGTTGCTGATCAGATGCATTGATTAACTGATAATCATCAAATAACCAGAGTTATTTTCTGAATAACAGCAACTGTTGCTGCTCACCAATCTGGGAAGAGTTAAAAGGTCATTTCCAAACTATCTGAGCCAGATTAATCATAATCGATCAATCTTCTGTTTATTTTAAAATCTCTGTCCATTTAAACACCAAACAGCTGAATCAGCTCCTTCAGGTCTGAGATTTCAGCAGCACAAGTTCAATTTACTGTCATCACATTTCAGCAGTGAGGCAGTTCAACGTGTTTTAATGGTAAAATCACAATAATTATGAAACAAACATTGTATGTTATGAAATAATTATCCAGAATAATAATTATTATATTAATATTCTGTTTACCAACAAAGGAAACTCTAAACAGGTGAGGTTTTAACCTTCAGATGGGATCAGATCCCGACGTGGAAACCACAGCAGGGCAGAAAAACGACACACCGCGAGTCCGGTCCGATATCTGGACAAAAGGCCTGTTAGTCAGTAGATGGATACCCAGCTAGCATTAGCCTGGCTAACGGGAGACATAGAAACCTCTGATAATAAGAGTCTTATAAGTGACGGTGGCAAAGGAGGCCAAACTGAGGGAAAGCAAGTTGCATCTCGTTGGGTTTAGTATCAGTGTAACGAGTCACGTTGTGTTTGAAAAGGCCGGTTCTTTGTCCCTGTGCAGACAGATTCAGGGTGAAGGACTTCATTAACCCTTCAAACACATTTAGACTCAAACGTTTCTCTCTCTTGATGAGCTGCTTGGTGATTTACTGTCTGATAAACTAGATTTCTCCAAGATGGCTCAAACTGTGTGATGTCTGCCACCTCTTAATATTTCATCTCCTATCTTTTCTGTTACTTTCTGCATGAATTTTTCTGCTAAATGGTATTTAATTTGCTCCAGGACTTTATCTCGACCAGCGGGCGGTGAGTCTGGAGGACCCTGGTCCTCCAGACTCACCGCCCTGCAGGTTTTAGGTGTTTCCTGGCTCCAGTTCAGGTGACTTTAGTTGACAGGTGGAAACAGCTGAATCAGGCGCGTTAAAGCAGGGAAACATCTGAAACATGCAGGGCGGTGAGGAGACGCTGATCTGGACAAACATGTCCGAAGTTTGAACAGACGTTCAGAGGCCAGGAAACAAACTGGACTAATTCAATTTCATTTTAATGTTTGGTGATTTTTGTGTAATGCTTCGTGAGCCGTCCAGCCAGTTGGGCCTTCATAGAGAAAGACATTCAGGAAAATATTCCAATACTTTGAAAACTGTCACCCTCCACCAGTCATCTGTTTCCTTAAATCAAAACCTCCACAAACGTCAGATATGACAGAAATGCTGCTGGAGGATCTTCTTACTGCTCACATAGCAGAGATTTACCTCATTTCCATTTAGGTTCAGGGTTTTACCTCTGTGTCATGAGAAAAATCATTACCAAATTATTAGAGGGATTCAAAGTTTGGCTCTGAAAATGTTGCTTTATTATTCATGTTAATTCTAAG